TTACTGTGTTCACAGTAAAATAAAAACAGTGATTTACGTAAAAACACAATGAAAACATTGTAATCAGATTCTCAGTGATTTTTTATACCATTATAAATCTTTAAGGAGCGATAAAAGAAAAGAAGTGGTTCCACTTTTCCTGTGACAGTCATTATATGATTTAACAAATGCATAAACGTTCTTAGTTAAACAACAAATGAATCACGAACAGAAGAGATTGTTCTGTCCATTATCTGATTAAGAGAACTGAGGGGTTCTCTTCCACGGTTAGAATGACCTGTCATGGCCTACATGGAGTTCAGTTTGTGACAGAGTTCCTGTCCTCTCGTCAGGCCTGTCCGAGGCCTGCCTCGAGGCAGTAAATCTTGTTTCTTCACTCGAGGTGACCCCTACACACGTGTGACCGAGAATAATTTATTTTGTTGCTTTTTATTATTAGAAACTTCGGGTGTAACAATTTTACCCTACGTCATTTAAAAAAACTTCTTTTTTTAAATTGAAACTGGAACACAAAGTTCCTAGTTTATTGCGCATAGCATTACATTCTTACTGACTGAATCTCCACACTAACATCTCCCAGAAGAACTCGTAAAATTTTCACCACATTATAAGGTTGATTAGAATCTGCAGCAGGTTGAACAGCTTCACAAAACCAATTGTTTACACAATTAATGATTGCTAAATTAAAGTGGATTTGTTTATGATCTGGATCATTTCACTATGTGGGCTATTAAGCAAAATCATCTTTTTTGAGCTTTATATCATGTAATAGACCAGAGTCTTTAACTCATTCATGCATGTTTGAGAAATCCTTGAACCTCCTGTGCTAGTCATGTGGAGCTGCCTAAATGCTTTCTGGTACAAAGTACCGCCCACTTGTACATAGCTCCTCCCTGGAGTTCAGTCTACAGCTGAGAACTCGCCCCACAGAGCAGCATTCTCTCCAAGCACTATTGTGAAGGTGTGCTGAAGTGGGAATGTGAGCAATGGTAGAAAGCTCTTAAAGAGACAGAGGCTAATTTCAAGGTTTAGATTTATTGTTTTATTTTATTAATTTTTTTATGTTCAGCATTTTTATTACAACTGAGGGTAACAGTTATTTGATTGTAGTATAGAATTGAACTACATATTTGCCTTGAAAATATATAATAGCCCCACACCCCCTTAAAGTTTTTCTGCAACGTGAACATTTTGCAGTTTTACCTATCTGCAAAAAAAGACTCAATGTTTGACAAAAATGAAAAACAGTGCGGAAAACGACACTTGTTCAATTGTTCCAGTTGCTTCAGATATGCTGCTCTAGCAGAAAACATTAAACTGTCTCAGGAAAGCACGTCCAAGTAAAAAATCAGAATTAATAACCAGGTTGTCTTCAACTGAAAGTTGAAAATTGTTTTTTATTAAATGATTTGTTTTTAATTAAATGAAAAATAAAATAAAAAACTCTACATCACCCTGACTGATTTTATCAGAATACCTTCTTGTAAGAATCAAAGTGAAATCCATTGGAGCGAGTGTCTGCAGGTTGTTTTTGTTTCGATCAGCAGTGAGATATTTTTGAGCTAAATGAGTTTCATGCGCTCAGTAATTACAGTGATTATTTCCAGAGCCTGAACACTCAGCAGATGCAACATTTGGTTTTGGAAAATGTTGTTTAGAAAAAGCAGAAGACAGTGTGATGAGAACTGTGATTTTTACACACAACATATTACTCTTTATTATTTTCTGGCTTTGAATGTCAAAACCTTTTTAATGTAGAGTAAGTCACACATTTTGAAGCTTTTGGATACTTTTTTTTGTATCAGACCTTAGTTGAACCAACTCCAGAGGGATATATGGAAGGACACACTTGAATGGTGAGAACAAGAGAAGGTCTGACATCTGAGAGGGGAGGGGATGCATCATCATAGAGGACAAACATCAGTTTACCCTTAAGAAATGTCACCCAGCGAGTACAGATCCCATCAATCAGGACAGGACAGGGTCTGTAGGAGAGCTGGGAGCAAAAGGCTGGTTTATTTTGGCAGAGGCTATGATCAGACCAGAAACTTCTTTAATTGCATTTATAATTATTATTGTAGACAAATATTACTCTTAGTCATACTTTGTCAGTAAAAATATATAAAACTCTTATTAAAGTCTAGGATGTATCAAAGGAAGCATTTGATATTTTAGATAAAAAGAACATTGTTCAGAATCATATCAGATCAAGGCTGTTTCACACTTAAGTCCTCTGGCCTCTGATCTGATTGGTGCTGCTGATCCCCAGAAACTGAGCCATGTGCTGCCATTGGTCAAAGGTTACATTTACCTTAAAACTTTACCTCTTACCTTAAACATTTATCTTTTTTGTTTGTATGTAATAATCATTCACTATGTTGGCTTACAGAACACAGAAGTACATTTCTGACACATACTTCAGACACTCCTTTTGGGCCTTGGTGCAAAAGTGTTGCAGTCAGCTGCCAAATTCCAGAGTGAGAGCTCATGCAAAGAATGAAATTCATTCCAGTTATGCAGAACATAATGACCTGCTGCAGCTCAGAACACAACACTGCTTTTATTGCCCACCGCAAAGACACATTTTAATGTTTTTAATCCACACGGTCTGACTTTTTACTCACTGACTTGTAACTCTCACTTTCTGCATCTCGTGTTCTGCCTTCTCCTCCTTCCTTCCCTCCTGTCTGTCTGTGCTCTTCAGTCCCTCCTTTAAGCTTTTCTGGACCACCAGTTTCTTCTTCGTGCACACACACACACACACTCCTCCCCACTGATTTATCCCCCAGTCTCCCTTGAAGGATCCATCTGCCCACAGATATATATATACAGTACATATTCACACACAGCAAATAAGCCTGGCAGTGTGTGGGTGCACATGTGTAGGGTGGAGGATGGGATAATGAAAGGATGTGCTCTTTTTGTCTGCCTGCTTGTCCACCTACAGCAGCAGAGGTGTGTGTGTGTGTGTGT